TTCTCCAGTGAAAAAGATTTCATTTGCTAATCAAAAAGGTTGTTCAACAGTATTTTCAAAACTTGTCAGGAACAAAACAAAAAATATATATGTTTTTTAAAGAGAACAATGAGTTGTCAAATATGATACAGAGTCTGGTTTTGAGAGGAATAAATGATATACAAGTGCTATAAAGTGCGTACAGGTACTGGGTACCAGGAGGCAGAAAGGTGGAAGAAAGGCCCATAGAAAGGTGTAGTAAGACAATGATTATCAGAGTAGGATAATAAAAATTATCACATAGATAAGAAAAAGATAAACTGAACACTGGTAAGAGAAAAGGGATGAAAAACTTTGAGGAAAGATGAAGACATAATAAAGGACAGGTATTCAAAAGAAAAAATATTTAGAAGTTTGTGATATCTTGTAAAACCCAATTTTGAGAGCATCTAGAAGCGATTAAAAGCACACATATTTATATATACTTTCATACAAATGACATTTTTTCATATTTTGAAAAAATGGACAGCTTGTAACAGTGAATATGAAATTTACATTAATCTCATAATTCCAGTCCATTAATAGTTCTAGAGAAAAAGGTCTTTTTCCTTTGTCTCCCACACAATCTTCAGTGTTTGCCTTCCCAACAGCATGGAACAGTTGTCCATGTTTAAGCTCACATACGTCCATTGGAAACTCCAGGTAACATGCCATGATGATCCTTCACGCATCTCTGTGTGGGACCTTTCTTACTACCACTGAAACCAACAACGATAAATTACAAGTGACACAGGAATTTCTTCCAGTGCTGTGATCTCATCTTCATCCAACTGTATATTCAAACCACTGGTGATAAGAAATACTTCTGCTTCTCTCTATATATACACCAAATCCCAAACCCCGCACATCTCGCATAAAATCAATACGCAAACAACAATTAGTGTAAGGGTCATCTAGGAAAACCTGAAATTTGCAGTGGTACTTACCAGGGAAAAAAACTGTGAAGGGTTATTTGCCACCATAAATCACGCTGTACCATTTGATTCAGATGGTAGTGGAGTGCTATATTCCAGTAACTGGAATATCATCTGTAGCTAAATTAGCTACTATAAAAAAAATAAAAAGGCTATCAATTTTCATGTCAACATATAAAAATATCATCTTCTGAGATAAGGAAAAAGTTTCTGCCATGTTGTAATATTTAACCCTGCATGTGTGAAAAGGGGATAAGGAGTGAGTGGGGGTGCACATAGCGATTACAATTCCTTACAGAGATGTATATACTAAATGCTTCATAAAAAGCATACTAAATTGAAAGAATACTCAATCTCTGTATATTTGGCAAGTCTTGCACTTCTTCTATAAACCTTCACCTTTCTCAAATGCAAATTCTCTTTCTACGGTGTTCAGTCCTCCTACGTTTCGTTCCATAAACAGAAATTTGGGGAAAGTCAGGTCCCTTTCTTCACCCTCTCTGAAGCACAACCCATGCTGCTGGCTCAGTAACCTCCGTCTCCTTCGGAGATACAGGCTGGTGTTCAGCTTATGAATATCACAGCGCTTCAACATCATTAAGGGGTTTCTTTATTATCAGAATCTTAAAAGGGCAATTTCACACGCTCCCCTCAGACCAGAAGCTCCCAGGTCATCTAAACAAAGTTGCCAACATTTAGAATGAGCATCAATAACAACGAAGGAGATTTACAGCATCTCCAGCTTCCATAAAATGCTTATATGCAGGATTCAATTTCAGCTATCACCAGCAGTGGGGATCAAACTAAAGGACGTTCCAGTGACTCGATGTCACGATGTCAGCACTGCCACCCGCAGCCACGTCACTACATGACCTCAAGTTCCAGAGATCTCCTTGTTCACCATGCTTCAAAGCTCCACCCACTCATTCATTTCGTTATTCGCTCTGTAATTCGGTATCCCTTTGCTTATGCTGATACAACTGTTTTTGAGGTCCCTCTGCAAAAATGAAACACTGAACTCGTTAGGATTTGGGGAGGTAAATGCAATTAAAGTTTATTTTTCACCTGAGGCAGGAATGAAGAGCTGAGGAAGGAACTCCCTAAGCTAGCTATAAGGACAAACCTGGAACATTATGAAAACACACATTTATTTACCAATAAAAACGGTCCCATTTTCAGTAATCATCTTGCTGGATACAGGTAACTTTTTTGAAAAAGTCAGCTTTTACCCAGAAGCTCAATTATTAGAAAACTGGCCTGGAAGGGACACGTTGGACATGTACAAATCTTATTCACTCACTGAGGTACGTCAGATATTCCATACACAATTCACTCCTGACTAAGCAATAAAATGCACATGACCTAATGGAAGCAGTGATGATTAAGATTTATATAACCAGCAGATAAATTATGCTTTGCTACCGTGCACTATCAAGAAGCTTACAGGACAGAAGCAGGATTAGTTCAGGACAAGGAAAACTACACACGTTAGAGTTAAACCTTAAGAAAAAAGATCTGGCTTATATCAAGTTGACGCTTCAGATAAGAGACTGCATTATAACAGGTTATAGTTGCAAAAATAATTTTGATTGGCATATCATTTATACTAACTACTGCTTGGAACCCACCCAGAATATGCAGCGTACTATAAACTGCTAAGAAATATATCTGTGTATTGTTCAATATTTACAATGTGCTTTATTTGGTAAATATAAGACCTGGCAGAAAAACGTAGAGTATTAAAAATAGTTCTGCTTAAAAAGAACCCCCTTTTCCCTATAAAAAGAAATATTTCACTAACAGCAGTTTATAATTTTGTTAAAAAATGTTCACAGTGAGGCTAAATAAACTTTCAATAGAAAAAATTTGATTGCTTTGTTCAGCTGCTCAAACAGATTTCTATCTTTACTTATTTGCATATTTCTGAATATTTTCTTTCAGGCCCTCACCATTTCTGTTAGCAAAATCAATTTTCTTTTGGACAAAAAGTGAGATTTGGTCTAATGATTTTAAGCTTTTAAATAAACATGAACCGAATGGTGTAAAGAGCTCTCTCCTTTTAAGAAAAGATCCTTGCTGTTTGGAAAGAAAAGAATTCTTTGCATTCACAGATATCAATTGACAGCAACAGATTTTAACATGAAGAGAGAAAAAAAATATACAAGGGCAAAACAAAAAGAGCTGCAACGTAATTATGTAGCTACAACACAGACTGACCCTAAGTTTAATTTTTAAGGTACATTTCATACACACGTCCATATACACAAACGTAAGAAACATTAAACTATGATATAAAAGCTTTATTATAGATTTTTCCAAAGCTCAAACAATAATCATTTTTATGACATTGTTTCCTCTGCACCTGAAGAGGAGGATTGTTCCAAAATCCAACAGTTCTGCAGAATTCTTAGCAAACACCGACCGACTGCGATTTTTTGAGGTCTGTTCAGCTCTGCTAATAGTTATTGTTTGCACAACTGTAACTAAGTACATTACCAACTAGTTGTTCAATCTATATAAATTTAAGAAACACACATTGCCAAAGAGTGACTCATATATCAGTCTATTATATGCTACAGA